CATTTTTGGGTTGTAGCGGCCCTCTTTTACATCAAGAAAACTGCAATATAAACAGGCTCGTTTATTCCACCTTTAAAGCATATCCCTTTCACAAAAATGAAACAGATGCAAGTTTAAATGATTAAAATTGAACATTCGAAAAAGAATTAGTGCCAAGCACCTCAAGACCCAAAGCCTTCTTCTACCTGTCCACGAAACTCTTCGGAGAAACCATGACATAATTGTACACGTACGAAAAGTTGTACAGAGGAACACAGCTGCACAGGGAAAATAGAAACTCAGATTGTTACCCAGATAAGTGACTTTGCACAAACGTACAAACCTGCCTCTTCCTTCGAATAGGAGTGAAAATAAGAAAAAAGAAACAGAAACAGAGAAAGAACCAGAATTTCTGAAGGAAACTTGTACTGATGTAAGAAGAGTAGAGTGTAATACCAACCTGTCCGAGAGAAGAACAAATCTTTGATTTGAAGGGTCCTCTAGGGCTGCTTCCAGTAACAACCTCTCAGCCTGAATCATACTTGATTCTCCCCATAAAACCTAAAATATGCAACACTGAATTTATATAAAGAATAAAACAACATATTAATAGCACTACAGTATTACAATTTTACGCTTTATCATATCTGCATGTACTATCACGCTGAAGGCATAAATCCTTGTTAAAACAATGTGTATAATGTTTGGACAAGTACACTCTTTCTATAACTAAAAACAACCACAAGTTAAAATAAGGTTTTTAGAAAAGTTAAATGACTTTAACTTCTCCAAAAGGCTTATTGAACTTGTGCATTTAACTTCATTTACTTACTTTCAAAGGCACAAATCCTTTCCAAAGAGAAAAGGTGCCAAAAATTATCAGATTATTACAGAGTAATACCATCACTCCATTGGCATTCGGTGCTACAAGTTGGTATTCTGGTGATTAAGCCAATATACAAATAAAAACATAAATGCAAAAAAGACCATGTTGTCAATTTCTCCATCCTGTAAGCTATATACCACTAAACCAAGTAGAAAGAATTCGCCATCGACGGAGAAGACAAAATAAAAACGCATCCACTTTCCCTATTTTTTAGGAAGCAAAACTTATCATAGAAGCAACATTTCAATGTTTCACAATTTCGAAACGGAAGGCAAGTTCGTGAATAAGTTAGTGGTATCGCTATCTCAACAACCGATTCGAGAGAGAAAAGAAAAACCTGAATGCTATTACTGATTTGTCGACCGTAGAAGAACTGCGACCTGGTGGTTGACTCATCCAGCACAAAGCCAGGCGTGGAGTGAACATAAATCGAGAATCTCGAAACGTCACCGTTCTAAAAAAGTACAAAAAGTTCAGACGTTCCCCAAATTTCAGATTATAAGGAAATCAAAGGAGAAAGATGCGAAACCTGGAAAAAAGCGTCCCAGAGGAAATCAAGAGGAAGGTTGCGGCGAACGAGGAACAAGAAAGCGATCTTGGGAGGGCCGTCGAAGACGCGAGAAACGGAAATTGAGGGTTTGGGAGAGTGGAATCTGAAGAGAGAAAGGAGGAGTAAAACGACGACGCATGAGAGGGAAGCGGAGAAGAAGATCAGCATTTTTCTACTTATCGCGTGGCGTCTCTTGGCGCCTCTAGCCGCCGATGCCATTCCTCCCACCCTGATTCAGCTTCAGGTTGGTTAACTGTAGCACTAGTAATAACCGTCGCTAATCTGTTTAGATATATGCATAGCATAGCGTGAAGAAGAGGTTGAAATCGAAGCTTATGCACATGCAGATGCTGGGAGAAACACTGACTCTTTGTTTTCAGTAATTATTAATAATAATTTGGTTCTCTTTCTCTCCGCTTTCATGGAGACAGGTGTTGAGACTCTTCTGAAGCCTCACACGCAACTTCGACTACATCAATACGTCGTCGTCGTCACCAGCACTTTTGACCTGTACAGCTCGGTGGGTCCCACAGCTGCATCCTTTGCACGTCAGCGCGTGGTAGCACTGAACGCGGCACCGCCACCGCCGCTCCTCAGTGCACACATTCCTCAGTGCACACATTGTTATCTACCAAACACTCAGTGCCGTTTTCCTTTTTAACAAAACAAAAAGGAAAATACTATTGCTTCGAACTGGTGAGAATTAATTACATGTTATGCTATGTTACTTACCACCTTCAATTTTATCCAATATCCATATTTAAGAAGAAAATTTTAAACTGTAGATGTCTTCTTTTCTTTTATTGTGTTTTTTAACTGCAGATCGAAACACTAGATGTTGTTTTTATGTCTTAGTAGAGGATTACTTTTTTTATGGTTGATGATAAAACTATTAAAATAGTAAAAGAATAATATACTTTAGCATATATAAACTTTTTACACTTATTTGAGATTATATTTTTTCTTTTTTTTATTTTCTTTTTTTAAATATAAAATTTTATTTTTTATCATTATTTTATTATTACGTTGTATGTCAAATAAATATAAACATATCATATCTTATAGTAATAGTTAAATTTTGTGTTTAACTTTTTCACCTTTTTATTTTGTTTTCAATGATTAATTACTTATATAAACTCATTACAAAAAATAGTTGACTTTTTGTAGTTTTAGTTAAAATAAATTTAATTAATTCAAACAAAATAATTAATTTTGTATCGTTTTTTCTTGACACATATAACATCAAATTTATTTAAATAGTTAAATAATACACACACACACACACACATATATATATATATATATATATATATATAATGATAATATTTTTATGAGTTTTTCTTTAACTAGAATTTTTTTTTTCGATTTTTAAAAAAGTTCAGTGCTTTATAAAAATTTCTTAGTCTTTTTTTTTTCATTTCATTTACCTTTTTTATTTTTTAAATCTAATTTTAATATTTTCTACAAAGTTTATTAGTCAAATATAATCTTTATCTCAATATAATTTTTTATCATGCATAAATCAAAAATATAATTCATATGTTAAAAAATAAATATTTTTTACAATTTATATTTATAATATATTTATACATAAACTTATTTATTTATTTCTCATCATGACGTCCATGAGTTAATGATTCCAAAGTCAATGTAAGGCCTACTTTTCATTTCCGGAAAATATGAGACCAGGCCCACTAACCTTGTTGCTACAAATGAAAATTTAAAGCCGAAACCCATAAATGAAACTGAAAAAAGGAAAACACAACCGAAAAAAAATAGGTTTAATTGAGTTTCAATTTTTTTTATAAATTTAGATATTTTAATCAAGTTTGAATTATTATTTTTATTTATTAAGTAATAAAAAAATTATATTTTTTTACTGAGTTATTGTAATTTAATTTTTTTTTGTTAATTATAGGATATAATTGTTATCTTTTCTTATCTATCATCACTTATAATACTTAAAAAAGTATAATCTTAATTAGCAATGTAGGTGACGACAATTAGTCTTTTATTGTCCAACATATTTTTAATTAAAGAAACAGAGGTGATTTGTCATTTATATTAACTTTTATTAACCACACAATTTCTCTCTCTCTATATATATATTTTTTAATATGTAATGATAAATAAACGGAGAAAAAACAAACTAAAGAAACAAAATAATAATCGTGTTACCAAATTAATAAAAAAAATAAATTACCGTAAGATTCTAATTCAAAAATATATAAAAAAAATTAAATACAGTAATAAAATAAGAAAATCTAATAAAAACTTGATTAAAATATTAATATAAAATTGAGTAATGCAATAAAATAAAAATATCTAATGGAGATTAATATATTATAATCTACTAGGAACTTAAAATTTAATTATAATTTTTTAAAAACATAATATAAATTATTATATATATTGTAGGACGAATAATATAACATTTATATAAATATACTGCGTTACTATTAATAATATTAAATTTATGTAGTGATTTCGTCTTCTTTTTGTTCACCTTTTAAAATAACTCATGATTTCCTTATCTTCAAAGATAATTTATGCTTCAAATGATATTAATTTATAAGTTATTTTAATGAAATTATCTTATTCAAAAGTAAACATCGTTGTCATTTTTTTAATATTTAATTTAAAGAGAGGGAATAATAATGTAAAAAAGAAAAAGGCACGAGTATATGACATGAAATAAAGTTGGAAACCCACGTTAGATTTAAGTTAACTTCTAAAAGTTCAACAACATTAATAATTCACCAGCTCTCAAATAAACAACACTTCTAAAAGGTAGTTGCTGCTTAGTGGTGGAACTAATAAACAACTCACTTTTATATTATTTATTATTAAAATAATAGTTTATTTCAATAAAAATGTAAATCTAATTGTCAAAATTTCATCACCTTCAAATATAACAACGTGGAAAACTGCATATCGGAATTAATTGACATTTTCAAACATATAAAATCCAGTTTTAATCTTGAATCCCAAAAACAAAAAAAAACAAAAAATAGTGCTTATAAAAATAAAATATTTTTTCCTGAGACGATTAAAATAAAAGAATTGCTGAATTTTATTCTTACCTGTTTTCAGTTTTTCTAATGAAAAAAAAATTGACAGATTTTTTAATAGTATTTTAATACAGCCATTTTTTTTATTGATTTATTATTTATTTGTTATTACAGTGACTTATTCTAAACCTTTAAAAAAATATGTTAACGTACTAGTACTCTTTCCGTTGTAGTAGGTTGTTGACTTTTAATGCAGTGATTAAAATTAGTACTTAGAGTACGTACTTAGTCATATTCTAAGCTCAACTTGACACTTGCGTTCTGACTGAAATTTAACCAAGAATGGGTAAAGAACAAGTGTTCATACCATTTGTTTATCTTTGCAAGTAACCAAGTAAGGAACCGTAACTCATGTGTGGGATTTTAAGCAACCAATGAAGAAGATATTGCAAGGGAAAGGGTCAGCAAAAGGCCAAGTCCTCAACATTTCACGACCACTTCCTTTCTCTCCAGTTTTGGTTTTGTGTATAAAACTCAGATCACCATTTCGTATGTAATCCAAAACTCTAATTCCATGGCCTCCTTACAAATCTCATCTATGTATCTTTCTTCTTTTTCCTTCAAGACAAAACATGTTGCTGTGTCCAAATTCAGACCAATGCCTTTGTTACTTCCAAAGATGTCATTTCAGGAAACGAACTGTGAAGAGAACGTCAAACCAAAAACATTGTACGATGAAAGTATACGTAATCTTGATACTCCCAACAACAACAATAAGATCACCACCACCACTAAATTCCTTGCAATTTTAGAGTTGGTAACCGACAGGATAGAAATGCACCACAACGTTGGGGAGCAACGTGACAATTGGAACATCCTTCTTTTGAACTCCATCAACATGATTACTCTCTCAGCCGCAACCATGTCTGGTCTTGCAGCCACGTGTCCAGGTTCAGGTGCACCGTTGCTGGCTCTTAAACTATCTTCCACGCTCTTGTTTTGTGCTGCCACAGGGTTAGTACTCGTGATGAACAAGATCCAACCCTCACAGCTCGCCGAGGAACAACGAAACGCGACGAGACTGTTTAAGTGCCTGCAGAGAAAAATGGAAGGCACCGTTGCTCTTGGAAGTCCTTCGGAGGAAGATGTGAACGATGTGATAGAGAAGGTTTTGGCTCTTGATAGAGCTTACCCACTTCCCCTTTTGGGAGCTATGCTTGAGAAATTCCCTGAAAAGTTTGAGCCTGTTGTCTGGTGGCCTAGGCCTGATAAGATTTTACAATCCCACAAAGGTAAGGCAAAGAGAGAGAAGATGGAAGAAGAGTTAATGAATGGATGGAGTGAAGAACTAGAAATGGAACTGAGGGAGGTTGTTGAAGTGGCAAAGAGAAAAGATTTTGAGGACTATGAAAGGTTAGGAAACATGGTGTTGAAGATCAGCAAGAGTTTGGCCATGTTAGGGCCTTTGCTCATGGGCATTGCAACAATTGGGTCAGTGTTTGTGGACAATATAGGGTGGTGGTCTTGGACATATTTGGTGACCCTTTTGGCGGGGTCTCTGGCTGCTGTAGTTAACTCATTTGAGCATGGATGTCAAGTGGGAATGGTGTTTGAAATGTACAGATTCTGTGGAGGGTTTTTTCGTTTGTTGGAAGAAACTGTTGAGACAACACTGGAAGAGAAAGATATGGAGAAAAGGGAAAATGGTGAAGTGTTTGAGAACATGGTGGCTATGCAATTGGGAAGAAGCGGGTTTCAGCTGAGAGAGCTTGCCTCCAAATCTGCTTCATGTCGTAGGGAAGGAATTGCCATAGATGAATTTGCTAGCAAGCTCTTCTAGTAAACGTACATGTTATGTTTATTATTCATAGTTTTTATTAATAGATATTTATATATAGAAATAGTTAGTCCACCATTCCATATTGTTATTGATAAGAAAATGTAGAACTATTCACGACAATGAATGAATTTACTAACTCGTGGTTAAGTCAGGTATGATCCCTAATTAGACAGAGAAAAACAGTGCTTATACCCACGCATTCATCGCACATCACTAAACCTTCGTAGCATTCTTGTATAGTGAAAAAACAAATAGCTACTAGTTTTATCCTACTTAAACTTTTTATTTATAGAAATTGTAATGGATTTTTATTTTTCACTATGACTTAATTATGATCAACCATATCTTAATACAATTATCTAGCTTATTTGTATTAAACTATTTTTGAAATTATTAATCACATCGAACATCAATCAATTTAACCAACGTGAATCAGAGAGATACCACGAACAACGAACCAAAACGCAAGCATCATAATTAAATAATGTCACATCATAAATTAAACATTCAATTCCACATCATAATTTAAATCCCATTTCTACATAATAATAAAATCATCATCATGTGTACTGTGCACCATATCAGCATATATCGAGGCTTTTTTTTTTCACTAACGGAAATGACACATTTTCAAAATTGAGAATCCAATTGAATTTAAAACAAGAGGTCTGAATTGACATTTCAATCCAAATACACATAATAATAAAATCAGGATCATGTCTATTGTGCACCATATCAGCATAGAAATGACACATTTTCAAAATTGAGAATCCAATTGAACTTAAAACAAGAGGTCTGAATTGATATTTCTATCCAAATACAAAGACGATACGAGAGTTTTAATGAATAAATAAATATGTTAATTTTAATTAGGTATTTTTTAAACTCTTAAGATAAATTAATTACTTATAATTTAAATTGTAATAAATTAATTTAGGTTCATCTACTTAAAATAAAAGTAAGATTTGAATCATTTAATGAATTAATAATGTGATTGAAATTTATAAAAAAAATACTTTTAAGTAATTTATATAAAAAAAAAAATTTAAATTCAACCAGTTACATTTCATATTTTAGTTTCAATTGGTTACCATATTTCAACTTGAAATTTAAATTATTATCTTCTATCTTTATAATCCTAAAATTGGTGGGTAATTGTTATTATTGAATTTTTTTTCTCTCCTTTCTCTTCTTTTTTTCATCTCTCCTTTACTTCCTCTTTTTCACCTTCTCACCTGCATTGTTATGGTTGTCTTCTACTTCATTCCATCCTCCTTTTTTCTTTTCCTCTTTTTTCTTTTCCTACTCATTTACCATTTATTCTACAAATTTTCAGACATGAAAATCTGTTAGTGAGAAAAATTATAGATTATTAACAAAATTGACTGTAAAAATATACAAAATTTGACAAAAGTATCTATCATAAATTTTAATTTATCAACCATTTAGTTTTGATAAAATTGATAATTTAAATTTTAAAATTTATTAATAAAATTTATTAGTAAAAAATTTCGACAAAATTTAGATTTTTTAATAAATTTATTTTTACCGATAATTTTTTTTAATATTTATGAAAATTTTAAAGCAAGTCAGAATTATGTTTGTTAGTGCTCATATACACAAGTATTCATGACTGAATAAGGAAAAAATCATTTAATTATGAGTAAAGTTAACTCTCAAAATAAAACTAATTGTTTGGTCACTAAATTCTAACACATTTCAAAAAATCATCTATTAGGCCAAAATGAGCATACTTACATCAGATTCAATCAAGAACGTAAAGCTTCTAATTCTTTGACAGCACTGTCAACTGCATAGACTATCATTTTCTGCATCTGTTTCATCAAAAAATGAAAACATTAAAAAACAAACATATTATAAGGTTGGCCAACATTTACCTTCTCTTCAATTTGATCTCACCTCAAGTTTATCTTCTCTGGCCTTGTGATTCTTGGGAAGACAACGGAACTCTTCAGTTAAATGCAGGCACATATGAACATTTTCTGGGGACACAAAATCTACAGCAACTTTTGTGCATGACTGCAAGGTTTATGATGTAGATCTTGGTGTTATAAATACAATCATAAATGCTGACAAAATGACTTAATTCAATGAGTCAAGACAAGTTTCACCTTAAGATTCCTGACTTGGTGCGCACATCCAGCAGGAATAAATACTGCCTCCCCAAGTTGTTGCTCAAAAGTCCAAGGTTCTACACCTGGGAAATTGAGATTCATGTTAGTAACTAATTGCCTTCTTTGAGTAATCAATTTGCAAATATTAATACTAACCAAACTCCTTCTTCAGATTCTTCTTGTGTTCCAAAGTCAGGTAAAAGCATTGGTCATGAATTGGATGGACAACCTAACCAACATAGAAATAAATGAGCCAAAGCCAAAAATAAGGATAAGAAGAAATTTAGACTGACTAAATATAACATTACCTCTTCAACTCCAGAGCAATAAGTATGCCTAAATTCTTTAGAGTGCTTTCTTAGATATGCTTCTAACTTTTCAGTATCCTCTCTCCGAAAGATGTCCCAAAGAGCACCACCTGATTCTTTAGAAACAGCACTCTTATATTCTTCTCTGTTGTCTTTGCAAAGTCCTTCATTCAACCGTTCATCGACCCTTTCTCGAGCACGTCCCTCTTTCTCATCTTGGGCAATGTGTGCTTTTTTCAGTTTTGGAATAACAGAATTTTGTTCATCACTCAATGTTACCTCAGTCGTGTGGATCAAAATATTCACCTTTGGAAATTATTGAACAATAATTAGAAAAATAAAGCAAATGTGCAGTAAATTTCTACACGAGGAAGTATATTTTGATCCCATGTGCCATAGTCTATAAGTTCAAATTAAATTAATAAGAAACACGTAGCAATCATTGTCCCATCTTTACACATTAGGAAACTAAACTTTAAGTTACTACCATATGAAAATAACCTTCAAACTAGGTTAAGTAATACGGATAGTAAAGTTAACCATAGGAAGGCTCATAATCCAGTGATACAACATGCGCAATAGGAAATCTGGGGTTTGGTTTTAATGTTCAAACAAAATGCAAGTTGTAAGTTCTCAAAACAACAAGGCAAGGATAGAGATTAAGGTTGTATGTTGCTTACAGCATCAGACATATCACAGTGAAGTTTTGTTACTGAATCTCCCCTGCCAAGTTCCTCTTTAATCCCATAAGCAATATATGTTTTTGGACCAAGGTCTGGCTTTAGAACATGAGATGGCAACTTTACAGCAAGGTTGAGTATCCCAACTCGAGGATCACAATACTCTTGAAATGGCAAGCAGCGGATAAACTCGTCACAATGGCGAGGCAAAAGATCATCAAACTTGTCAGAGGGAGGCCAGTCTTTTAACTTCAGCATCTCGGGCCAGAGATTTTCATATGCTCTTCCTTGGGTATAACCCTTGAAGAATGTACGAGCATTGATTTCTACCTGTAAAAGTTTGGAATAGAATGGTGAATGCTGGTCCAAATTCTTGTAATATTAATATACAAGCATCAAAAACATTGTAAAATGTTACAGTTTGATGTAAAAAAGAAATTGCCAATTGAAGTCGTCAAACGTGCATTCCAAAGCATGAGATAAAAAACTAAAAACATTATCACTTTTGTTATTTGAAACTTTAGAAGCATATTTTGGTATTAAAAACCAAAAAGAGACAATAGAAGCAAACCTCACAACAAGAAAGACAATCAATGGCCTTCAATTCAGTAGTATTTGAGCTGATTCCTGGAACCGCGTTTTCACATAGGGCTCGCAATGTGACCATTGGCTCCCAACTAAGACCTGTACCCTGCTTAAGAACATCACGAACTATGATTGGTTCCCCTTGAGTCCAATGTTGTTGGAAGAGAAGCAGTCCTTCATTTATGAGGTCACTTGACAATGGACAGTATAAGTTATTATCACTTGTGCCATCTCTAAAAGCTGCTCTTATCTTAGAATTGCAACCTGATATTCCTTCTTTCTGAAGAACTGTTTTATCAGTTTTGGAAAAGCCTTTAAGCATGTTACGAGCTTTGGCTTCCAATTCTGATATCCACCCATTTGAAAAAATACGCTTCAGCTCCATCACAGGGCCACCACAGCCCCCCATTTCTTTTGGTGCACATCTAATACTTCCATCACTGTTGGCTTCCCATTTGCTAAATATCTTAGAATGACCTCTTAAAATCCCAAAATTACTACACATTGGTAATGGATCACCACCATGCATATAATCACACCCCCTATTCACATACTGAAACTTCATATTACACCGGGGTGATATACTTCCATTGCGTATTTCTATGCAACAGTTAAGGCAGATTTCAAAGGAACACTCGGGGCAGCTTCGATAAAGATCAGTAAATGAAACAGCACAATGGTCACTGCTCCAAGAAAAAAAAAAACTTATAAAAATGTGAAAGGAATCAAACCAGTATAATTGGCACGTGGAATAATACCATACCAATAAATACGTTCATTCTCACAAGATGTTTGTGGTATCTCAATCTCAGCAGCACTTGATTTTTCTGGCAAGACATATTATTGTTAGTTATGTATTCAAAGTTAAATTACCCCCACCGATGCTGAAACTTATAATACCTTGTATTTTAGCTTCAATCTCGAGCTCTTGACTTTGTTCTTCACAAATGTGTTGTATAAATGGAATGAGTAAGTTAATCATGTATTGGAGATGCTGAACCCTTTCCACGTCTGTGATGCTGCTGTTAGATGTCTGAACACATGAAATCAGATGGGAAAAGTAGAGTTAAAAAGTACTGAAAATTCTTCTGGGTAATGTTTTCAATTTATGAAAGGAATTGATTTAAGGGTATCTACCAGACAGCACAGAAAACTAACCTTAATGGTTCCTCTTGAGCGTAAGCAAACACTGCAATTGCAATTGTTTCGGCAAAAGGGACACTCGTGTGAAATGTCTGATACTGTAAGATTGGGATACCTGTGTGTAAAATGAGAAATGGTTATATTTTGCA